ATTGTTGCAGCCACTGTGTCATTCCATTTCCTTGAGGGTCTTCCTCTTTTTTACTGACCCAGAACACTTAATTGGGCTCATGCAGAACCTGTACCTAGACCAAGAGGCAGTCGTTGGAACAGAACAAGGGCATACTGCGTGGTTTAAAATCAGGAAAGGTGTGCGTCAGGGTTGAATCCTTTCACTGTGCTCATTCAGTGTGTATACTGAGCAAATAATCATATATAATTATACACACACACTTATATCTATATTTGTATATCTACATATACACATATATTGAAAACTGTGAGTTTGCACTGATAACTCCATTCCAGTGAACACTGCAGCGTTCATTCTTGCATTCCCTCTTTCCGTATTTGTAATGCCCTTCTCTGTCAGTGAGATACCTGGTTTCCGTTATCCTCCATCACTCCCCAACGTGTAACCACGGTCCTGTCCACTGCAGCCTCTCCATCACATACCTGCCCTCCTCACCCTACTCAGTCGGGCTCCAGTGCCCTGCCCTGGGCTGCCTCCTGTGCTGATGCTCTTCACCGCTTCTGAGCTCCAGCATACCATGCTAGGCCTCCCCCAACATCCCCAATGGATGCCACCATCTTCACCCCACGCAGACTTTAATACTTCATGCCAGGCTGCCTCTTTCCCCAAGTGGATGCTCCCCCCCCCCGCCCACATGGCTTCAGTACCATGCTCCTTCAGTACGGTGCCCCTTCGGTACCATGCCTCTCTGGTACCGTGCCCCTTCGGTACCGTGCCCCTTCAGTACCATGCTCAGGGCCATCTTCCTTACTCTGCCTGGATTCAGACGCCCTCCCTGGGTCCCCCTCCATTCTGTCTACCCCAGACCTTTGAAGCATATATGGAAGTATAGGAAAATATCTACAGTTCTCGAGATAAGAAGATATTTGGGAAGAAAGTACTCTGTTTTCTTTTCTCTTACGAAATTGGAAGTATCTGGAGATAAAAGTACATATGGCTCTTAAGTTTAATGCAATAATTCATTGAAGATACAGTTGTTGAACTCCTACTGAATGCCAGGCGTTGAACCAGGCTGCGAGGGATGAGTCAGTGAACTAGACAAGCCCTTTTTCTCAGGCAGCTACGTTCCTAACTCTGCTGTCTAGCCTTAGGCAAGGTGATAACAAACTAGTAACCTCTCTAAGCCTATTTCCTCATATGTCAAATGGCAATTGTAGTAATTTCCTCTTAAAGCTGTTGTGAAAACTGAATAATGCATGAAAAACACCTTGTCCCCTGTTAGTTACTGTCGTAATCATCACAGAAAAAAGGTGCAGGTGCCTCAGCTGAAATACTATTCACTATTTTAAAGATCATTCTAAAATTTCTTTTGATACTTTAAAAGGAAATCAAAAAATTCCTGCACCCCCCCCCACCCCGTCACCCTTTTAACTCACTCCTGAAGTCACTCCTGAAGTTCACCGTTTAGCCAAAGATTAGACAGGCCTGTAAAACAAACAGTAACACACAGAGTTCCACCACATATATGAGACTCATGGGCGCACCAGCCCAAAAGGAAAGACGAGAAGGCAGGAAGAGACAGGAAAGCTGGACGAATGGAGGTAGAGAAAATGAGGTTGAGAAGGGGAGAGTGTTGACATGTAGTGGGGTTGGCAACAAGTGTCACAAAATAATTTGTGTATTGATTGTTTAATAAGGAACTAATTTGATCTGTAAACTTTCATCTAAAGCACAGGCAGGGAAAATGACATCTCGTCTAGTCTTTGAATTACTTTTCTTTCCTTTAGCTTACTTTTATCTGAGAATATGTACTTTAGTTTAAAGTGTATGTGTGTATCCCGTTTTCCTGTATCTCAGAATATGATACATTTGTTAGTGTGTTTGAGTTGAGTGACATGCTCATAGACGGCCCTTCATTGGGCCTGAGAGATACGGTAGGTTGTTCATACATCTGGAGTACAATTAATGGAAGGTAAGTATTATGCATTATCAGAAGAGGGAACATTTTGCTGCATGGTAATTTAAGTTATAAAACAACTTTCTTTTTCTAAGAGAAGCTGACAACCTAGTACTGAAAATATATTTTCTTTTAAACTCTTACTAGTTGCCAATATGTGAGCTCAAACAATGATGCCTCTGAAACGGATAAATTTAGTAATTTCTATATTACTGTATTAGTGATGGTATTGTAAATGCATATAGCATGTAACCTGTAAAACTCTAGAATAATATTTGCCCTGGAGTCCATGCCTTCTGTCATCAGGGATATAACAAGCCTGTCTCTAACATTTGTTTTTGAGTACATGTGTACTTTTAACCTCCCGCAGGCCAGTATATAACAACAAAAAAAACGAAACCTGTTGCCGTCGAGTCAATCCCGACTCATAGTGACCCTATAGACAGAGTAGAACTACTCCATAGAGTTTCCAAGGAGCAGCTGGTGGATTCAAACTCCTGGCCTTTTAGTTAGCAGCCGAGCTCTTAACCGCTGTGCCACTGGGCTTCAGGATAGTATTTAGGAGAACGCAATCCTGGTTTACTTTATAAAAGATTAAAATTTATGTTTTCATTTTTGATACTGGTATTACTTGTCATTGAATATTAGGAGTAACTTTCTATAAATACATAGTGTTATAATAGAAACTCTAGGAATGCAGAATGAAATACAAATTCCCATAACTTTAATGGCCTGATGAAACCTTCCCCCCTCCCTAACTCCATACTGGGTGGTATGCTGAACATAAGGCCCACACTTAATAACAATGAACAGACTAGAGAATTGTGACAGTGTCAACTGATTGAGCGATTGGGTCATTTGTCTTAGCCTGTGCTGCCAACTAGCAGAGCACAACTCATCCGAAGGCAGAAGTGAGATAACCGTAGGAGGAGGACTTAAGAGCAGATGGTCTAAAAAGAGGTGAAGTGGGCAGGGAAAGTGAGACGGTCTGTGCAACGGTGGAGGAGAGCTTCGAGGTAAAGGAAAGGATCTCTCATGCACAGTGCTGATGTTGTCGTTCGTTGCTGCCAAGTCAGTTCCGACTCGTGGCGACCCCGTGTGTACAGAGTAGAACCACACTGTAATATTTTCAAGGCTGTGACCTTTCAGAAGCAGAGCGCCAGGCCTGTCTTTCGGGGTGCCTCTGCCTGGTTTCAGACTGCCAGCCTTTCAGGTGGTGGTTGGTCACTTAGCCGTTTTTGCCACCCGGGTACCAAGGAGTATTAGTTAGAGCAGTAGGCTGGGAAGAAAGCCCTTTTGTTGGCAGTAAAAATTGGCAGGAACTGGGGAGGCCGTGAGGATCTGCTTACATGACTTTCTAACGTGGAACACCAAACCAAACCCATTGCTGTCGAGTTGATTCCGACTCCTGTCGGCCCTGTAAAGACAGAGTAGAACTGCCCCATAGGGTTTCCAAGGCTTTAAATCCTTAAAGAAGCAGACTGCCACATCTTTCTCCCACGGAGTAGCTGGTGGGTTCAGACCACCAGCCTTTCAGTTAGCAGTCTAGTGCTTTAACCGCTGCGCCACCAGGGCTCCTTTAGAACACCAGTATTTCCAAAATGTACTGTAATTCTCTGTTGTGCTGAATTAGGGAAAGAAGGGGAGAGAGGAGAGGTAAATACAGTGTGAGCCAGTCGGCCAAGAGGTGAGCTGGGGGTTGTGGGAAAAGGATGGCAGCAGAGAGGGAAAGACACCTGGGAGGGAAAGGAAGGAATGAAAAAGAGGATCATACCCTTCTGGACTGCAGACTTTAGAATGTCGTTATTTTTTATTGTCCTTTGAAATATTAACTGTGCTTATATTTCTTTGGTTCTTTGCCAGTTTTTTAGGAGTGTATTTGCTAAGTACCAGGAAGATTTTTTCTTTAAAGTTTCAGGGATTTTTTTTTCTTCCGGTAGAACAGTTGTTAACACTGTGCCATAAGGAAATTATTAACAAGATAACATTAACTTTATGAAGAAATAAGTCAAAGGCAGTCTAAAGATTTCCTCATTCCTGCAGTAAAGTGTAAAGTGTTGTTATTAGCTTTCATTGTTTAAAGGTTTTGTCTTGTGTGCCAAGCACTGTTCTAAGTGTCAGGGATAAAAGAAAAGAATAAGACAGAGTTCTTGCCTTCCAGAGTCCCTGGGTGGTACACACAGTTAATGCTCTGGGCTGCTAACCAAAAGCTTGATGGTTTAAGTCCACCCAGAGGCGCCTTGGAAGAAAGGCCTGGTGATCTACCTTCAAAAAGTCAGTCACTGAAAACTCTTTGGAGCACAGTTCCACTCTGTCACACATGGGGTCCCCATGAGTCGGAGTCTACTCAACCTTTCTTTTTCCCCCCTGGCCTTCAAGGAGCACACTAGCTGGTGTGAAAGACAAGTGATAAGTTTATATCACATGTTTTGGCAGCATGAAGAGGGAGCTCTGTGAAAGAGTGTGCCTGGAGAAGTCAAGAAGGGCTTCCAGGAAAGTGACCTTGTGGCTGTGTTTTTATAAGGTTGATGGAATTTGCCAAGAGGCAAAGGTGGGGCAGAGGCCTTCCAAGCAGAAGGCGCAGGAAAAAAAAAAAGGGGGATTAGGGCATACGACTGGGGTGAAAGGGAGATTGGAGTAATGAAAAATGAAGCAGAAAGTACGTTGGGGCCAGATTCTGAAAGATTCCTTGTTAAGGATTTGAGTCTTATCCTACAGGGGCTATCATAAAACGGTGGTGTACGGGCATTAAGGGTAGGCAAATAGATCATTGGGACAGAGAAGAAAACCCAAAAACAGCCCCAAATACATAAGTGTATTATTAAAAGTAGTGTTTCAGATCAGTGGGGAGAGGATGGATTAGTTAGTAGATGGTGTTGGAATAATTTGTTTAAGTCTTTGGGAAGAACAGTTAATTTATAGTTTGAGAAAATATTTTATGTAGTTCATTTATGTTAAAATATCTGTTGGATTTTGAAACCTTTGGTTGAAACTCTGGCTTTATTTCTAAATAGAAGCTGATGTTTCGAGTCATTTTCTTAACCTAAAACTTTTTTTGTAGCGTCTGCAGAAAAAGAGGCAATCAAGGGTACATACTCCAAAGTAATGGATGCATATGGACTCTTAGGTGTTTTACGATTAAATCTTGGTAAGTTTGATATTCATTACTGTTCATCCAGTTTTTATTTCTGTTTGTGTAGTTCTAAGGATTTGAGAGAGACTATCTATAGACCATTTTCAGACTCCTTATTTGAGCAAAAAAATGTGGTAACATCTTTGAAACCCTAATTAAGCTCATCTTGTGATAATTTGTTGCCCGGAGGGCATGCTGCATGCTCTAGCTCTTGTGATTTCAAGTTCCAGAGACACTGTCCTGTTTGAACACTTTGAGGGATTGGTGTTGGTTGTTAAAAGAGAAAATCAGGAAGTTGCCCTTTTTCCTTGCTTCAGTGTGTTTAGAAGAAGGTGCCCTAGTGGGGACCACACTCATCTCCCTGGCTGTAGTGGAGAGGAGGACATCGCTTTTGGATTCAGAAGGCTTGGTTTGAAACTGCCTCTGCTACTTTCTGTCACCGTGGGCTGCAGAGTAACCTTATGGTTATCAGTTTGATTGTATTTTACACTGTGACTCAAAGCGTGGCCCAGGGACTAGTACGTTCCTCGTGAGCTGTTACTGGTCTGGGAGTAGATAGGGAGCTTGCACCATCACGGAATCAACACCCAGCTTCATTCATCTATAAAATCTCACTATGAAAAAAAAAGACAGCTAAACCGAAGGGGAACCGAGTGATGTGGTTGATTCCTATTCTGGTGTCAGCACCTTTTCCCGCTGGGGACGGGTAACAGTTCACTGACCACATTTGGAGTAGCAGTGGTCTGTAAGATGGAGATTTGTCGTGTAGTATGATATCTGTCACCTGTAAAGCGCTGTGCAAAGTTGCTTTGCTAAGACTGTCTTGGGTAATCCTCACAGTCCAATGAGGTGTTTGTTTTGATTCCTTTTTACCTTTTCACAAGGGAAGCTGTCTCAGACTGGTTACGTTAACATAGCTGAGTTGATCAGACAATAAGTAGTGAAGGCAGTATTCAGGGTCACCTCTGCCCACATCAGAGCCAGCGCTCAGAGTACGCCACTGCTGAATCCCAACTTCATACTAATTTTGTAGAATTTTTGTCACAATTAGATGAAAAACTCTATGAAAGTTTTTATAAACCGAATCACTTTATAAATATTAGTTGTCACCAGTGACCTTTTGCCCATATATCATCAGCCCACACGTATGTGCCATTATGTTTCAGCTTGACTATTTACAAAGAACTTTCTCATTCATTGTCTCATTTGAATTTCCTGTCAGTCATAAAAGGAAGATAGAGAAGATACCACGTAATTTTTTTTTTGTGGGGGGAGAAGTTTTCTTAACATCAAATTAAGTAGAGGAACAGTTTTATAAATGCCAGCTTATCCTGCTAATGTTTAAGTGTTTTGCTCTACTAAATGTATTTAAAGATAGAGTTTTTTCAATTCTTGAAAAAATTCTCATTGTGAAAGTTAAACTTAAAGACATCCACAGTAAGTTTAAAATAATCACAATGTCTGATTTAAAAGACGGGGACATGAGAAGAAAGTCAGAAGAAACTTTGAATAGCTTGAAAAATAGTAGGGCTTTTCATGCAATTAACTCTTTGTTTTTTGCAGGTGATACTATGTTACATTATCTGGTCCTAGTCACTGGATGTATGTCTGTTGGAAAAATTCAAGAATCTGAAGTTTTCCGAGTTACTTCCACTGAGTTTATATCACTACGAATTGATACTTCAGATGAGGATCGCATTTCAGAAGTACGAAAAGTTTTGAATTCAGGAAACTTTTATTTTGCATGGTCTGCATCTGGAATCAGTTTAGATCTGAGTCTTAATGCGCATCGTAGCATGCAAGAACACACAACTGATAATAGATTTTTCTGGTGAGTTTGTTTTCTCTTTTCCCACTGTGCTCACTTCGTGTGCAGTAGCTTGGTAATTTTGAATGCAGCGGTTGCAGTTTCCAGCGATAGCAAGGGGTGGACGTTGTGGGAGAGCACACCGCTCCTTCCTGCTCCAGGTCCTCAGCAGAGAGAGCGTGGTAGGCAGCCGCTGCTGCTATATTGGGGTTGGCATGTGATGTGAAGCTCCTTGCTCCCCTGATCTAGATAGCCCTTTCATTCCAGAAGTGTATTTAAAATACTTGTTTTAAATTTAGGAATGAATTCAGTTATAATAAAATTGTCGTGTTCATATTTATTGTTCTTAGTTTTGAGATCTTGTCTCAGGCAGTATTACTATTCTAGAACCAGCATTCCCTTACTTACTGATTTAATGTTAAGGCTGTAGGTAGATGATCTTGAGTCAAGAGCAGCAAACTTTGAAGTAATAGTATACTGGGACAAAGTCTAGTACTGTAATAAAATAGAACTTAGGTAGGTAACTGTGCTATATTTCATGATGATTCTTAAATGTGCTGTATTGTTTAAGTATGTACAAATGGTATGTAGAACACGTGTGACTATAATTAGTATTGCTTTGTTGTAGCCAGACCAGATTTCTAGTACACTGGTTCTGTTGCCTACAACTGACATCAGTGCTGACCTTTTCCCGTAATAAAACCAAAAAAACCCAAACCCACTGCCGTCAAGTCGATTCCGACTCATAGCGACCTTATAGGACAGAGTGGAACTGTCCCATAGAGTTTCCAAGGAGCGACTGGTGGATTCGAACTGCCTACCATTTGGTTAGCAGCCAAGCTCTTAACAACTGCGCCACCAGAGTTGAACAAAGGGGAGACTGAAACACCTGAGGTGAATTTTGCTCATTTTTGCTGTGTTGCTGAGGACTGGCGTTCCCCACCATCACTTTGCGTAAACAAACGGAAGCTTTATTTATCATGCATACCCTTGCAGCTTAGTATTGTTTTCTGGGATACAGCCAAGAATGTTTTGTAGCCTAAGAGCTGTAAATAAACTGTCACAAAACCCAGGTAATCTTACTCTATTGGAAATTCAGAGCTGCTGCCAGTTGAGAGCTGTGTACACATTTAGATAGAACTAAAACAGCAACACATTGATGGCAAAGAAAAATGCAAACAGCAGAGAGAAGCTCCCTGTACAGAGGGCACAGGATGTGAGACCCATCTAAGTGAGGACAAGTCTGTATGCCTGCACTGTGAACAGTCCCCACTGTGGTGGCGGGACACACTGGGTCACAATCAGTTTGAGCCCCCTCAGATCAACGTAGGTAATAATAATTTACACATGCTTAAGTCATTTATTCATGTTTTAAATAAATTGATCAGACTTAATGTCACCCCAGTAGTACTCACACCACTCGTTTACATTCCAGTTTGCTTTCTTATACCGATATGGGGGGTCAAGGTGATAGCTGGTTTACCTGGAAGCGCCCGTGGCCACCATCTGTTTTATCTCTGAACTGTTGCCATCCAGTCGATCCCGACTCATGGTGATCCCACCTGTGTCAGGTAGAATTGAGCTCCATAAGGTTTTCAGTGGCTGATTTTTCAGAAGAAATGTACCAGACCTTTCTTCCAAGGCTCCTCCAGGTGGACTTGAACCTCTAACCTTTTGGTTAGCAGCTGAGCACATGAACCGTTTGCACCACCCCGGGGACTCCATCTTGTTCCTGTTGCAGCCTGTGACCTAAGGGCCCTTTCGTCTAGTGTAGCCTGTAACGGGGGGATGGAGCAGAGGAGCGCTGCTCTGAGAGTGTTCCTGTGTGTTGGTGACATCAGTGATCCTGAATCTTCAAGGAAATGCTAATTAAAAAATACATATTTTGTTTAAAACAACCGGGTAGTGCAGAGCACTTTAAGGAAGATTTCCACTTAAAATGGTAGACGAGTTTTAAAACTTAGAGAGCCAGACTTCATTCTTATAAAAAATTCATTTTTCTAAGGCACCTTGCCATCTGAAAGTACCAGCTCCCTTTCCTGCTCGGCAGTATATTTTCTTTACTGGGGGATTGGTTAGGAGTGTCCACAGCAGCTTGCGTATGTGTTCCCTGGAGGACCAAGGTCCCAGTGGAGACCTCAGGGAGCGGGTTAGCTAGGCTGAGAAGAAGGCCAGCCTGGCAGGGCTTCAGTCCCCATCCTTGCTTTAACATGGTGACACCCCCCCCCCCACCGAGTTTTTGTTTGTTTTTTGCAACCATTACCGCTTATTTATTTTCAAAACTTTTTCATCACCCCAAACAGCGACTCTGTACCTGTTAAGCAGTAGTTTGCGTTCCCCTCTCCCGCCAGCCCCTGGTAACTGCTCACCTACATTCTCTGTGCATTTGTTGATGCTGCTTTTATCTGTTTTCCTGTCACCGGGCTTCTACATATTTGTTTGAATAAAACTTTTTTCACTGAAAATTTTTGGAAACTAAGTTTGATCTGTTACCTAGAATGCTAAAAAGTGTTTGGAGTGATGGGAAGCTCTAGTGCCGTGCTAATAGGGTAGCCACTGGCCACATCTGGCTGTTTAAATTAATGAAAAGTAGAGCCCGATAAAAGTCAAGCCTTAAAAGTTGTCGTTGAGTTGATTCTCACCTGTGGTGACCCCACGTGGCAGAGTAGAACTGCTCCATAGGATTTTCAAGGCTGTGACCTTTCAGAAGCAGACCACCATGCCTGTCCTCCGAGACACTTCCCAGTGGGTTTGAGTTGAACCACCAACCTTTTGGCTAGTAGTCAAGCACTTAAGAGAGAGAGAGACTGTGTGTGTGTGTGTGCATAAATGTATAAAATCCGTTTGGAACAAGTTAGATTGCAGATACATTAACAAATGTGTTATATATAAAGACATAACAGAAACAGGGCACGGATACTAAAAACAGAAAACGTGCTTCTCCTCCATGGACCATAGATCACATATCCCAGGATCTCATATCGTAACCCTACCTTCTGCTCTGTAGCATAGTCGGTGTACATGATTTGTTCATTTTTAATTTAATGATGTCAATTTAATGTTCCAGAAGCACCATTCTCAAACTTTGTTGTTTCTCAGTCAGCTGATGCAGCTCTTTTCCTTTTCACTAGGAATCAGTCTTTGCACTTACATCTCAAGCACTACGGTGTGAATTGCGACGAGTGGTTATTACGCCTCATGTGCGGCGGGGTAGAAATCAGGACCATCTATGCTGCTCATAAACAGGCCAAGGCCTGCCTCATTTCAAGACTGAGCTGTGAACGCGCTGGGACCAGGTTCAATGTCCGCGGGACGAATGATGACGGTCACGTGGCTAATTTTGTGGAAACAGAACAGGTATCTAGTGTTTTGCATTGCGTCGTTGATGTATTATATGACAGGCACAGAAAATAATAGAATGGTAGATTGTTATTTTTTAAGAACTCATTTTGACATTTGTAATACCTTTTTATTAAGGTTTTTGGCTACTTAATCAGCCTTAAGAAAGGTTTCCCTAGAACAAACTTATTTAGGTACGGCTCTTCAAATGAGTAACAGGATACTCACCAATATGGATGGCAGTGCCAATGCCCTATGATTTAAAGGTCCTCAATGATAGAGCTGGACAACATAAGGGAAGTTTTTCTTTTTTTTGGTAAAACTATATCAAAACCCTGCTCTTAATGAGAGATATTGTACCGTCTAAAAATTAAAAGTTATGGTACATTTTTTAATAGACTTTATTTTTTAGAGCAGTTTTGGGTTCACAGAAAAATTGTACAGAAAGTACAGAATTCCTTTTCCCTTCTGCACACAGTTTCTCCTGTTACTGACATCTTGCATTTCTGTGGTACGTTTGTTATAATTGATCAACCGTTATTGATACATTAGTATTAATTGAAGTCTATAGTTTGCGTTAGGGTTCACTCTCTGTGTTGTACAGTTCTGTGAGTTTTGACAAACGCATAATGTCATGTGTCCACCATGACATTATCGTGGAGAATAGTTTCACTGCCTTAAAAATGTCCTGGGCTTCACCTGTTCATCCTTTCCCCTCTCCCTGTTCCCCTGGCCACCATGGATCTTTTCTCTGTCTCTAATTTTACCTTTTCCACAATGTCCTGTAGTTGGACCCATACAGTATGTAGATTTTTCTGACTGGCTTCTTTCACTTAGCAATATGCATTTAAGGTTCCTCCATGTCTTTTCATTACTTGATGGCTCGTGTCTTTTTATCCCTGAGTAATACTCCATTATATGGTTATATCACAGTTTGTTTATCCATTCACCTATTGAAGGACATCTTGGTTGCTTCTAATTTTTGGCAATTATGAATAAAGCTGCTATAAACATTTGTGTGCAGATTTTTATATGGACATAATAAGTTTTCATCTCATTTGAGTAAATTTCTAGGAGCACACTTGCTGGGCCATATGGTAAGCCTATGTTTCACTTTGTAAAAAACTGCCAGACTGTCTTCCAAAGTAGCTGTACCGTTTTGCATTGCCAGCAGCAATGAACGAGAGTTCCTGTTGCTCCACATCCTCACCAGCATTTGGTGTTGTCAGTGTTTGGATTTTAGCCATTCTGATAGGTGTGTAGTGGTGTCTCATTGTTGTAATTTGCAATTCCTTAGTGACATATGATGTTGAGCATTTTTTCATACACTTATTTACCATCTATATACCTGTATGTTTGCCGTATCTGTGTATTTGGTGAGATTTCTGTTCAGAATTTTTACCCTTTTCGTAATTCTGTTGTTTTCTTGTTGTAAGCTAGGATATTTTTGGCTGTGAAACTACATAATTGTGAATTCAGGCTTATAATTTTATGCCTTTTGAGAGCCACCCCCTGCCTTCAGGCCGATTAAGGCTTCCAAGTTACTCTTCAAAAAATATAAAAAGCTAAAGAAAAAAATTAAGTGAAATATTAACATATGCCTATAAAATATTGAGGTTCAAAAGGAATTAAAAGTTGTGATTCTTATGCATATCCTTTTATAATTTTCTTGGTAAATATATGTAGAAGAACTATCATTAACTGAAAAAAAAATCAATAAATTTGTCTAGTGGTCTATTTTGAATATTTTGATTAGGGAAATTTGGTGATAAAATACGACAAGCATGCAACATACTTCAGTAAATTTGTTGTAATACAGGCGTACTAACTTTTCCTGTGGAAATGTTTATATATGATCTTTCTCTGCAGGTTGTGTACTTGGATGACTCTGTTTCTTCCTTCCTACAAATCCGGGGTTCTGTTCCCTTGTTTTGGGAACAACCAGGTTTGCAAGTATGTGTTTGACATTCATGTATTATTATTTTTTTCTCTTGAGAATTTTCCATATCCTCTAAGCTTTCAGGATGGCTTATTAGTTCATACCTCTGTTACTCTAGCTAATCAGACTAGCTAGACTTGCAACTGGGCATCTGAGTACAGGATTCCTGGAATTATCTTAGATGTATTTTCCTTTAATGTTCTTGCAAACAGTCATAGAAATTCAGCTGCTGTATTTAATATTAAAACTTTGGTATGCTTTTGTAATGAATTGATTTTCAAAGTGCTTTCATATTTATTATCTCATTATCTTACCAGAAATCAGTTGTCATTGAGTCAATTATGACTCATGGCAACCCCATGTGTGTCAGAGTAGAACTGTGCTCATAGGGTTTTAATGGCTGAGTTTTCAGAAGTAGATCACCGGGCCTTTCTTGTGAGGCACCTCTGGGCAGAGCCAAGCATGTTAACCAAGCACCTTAGCTGTCGGCACCAACCAGGGACTGGGTCTCCTTATCTTGGTGTATAACAATTTAGCTCCTTAGGCAGAAGTATGTAATAGTTAAAGACTCTGGAACCAGACCAACCAGTTTGAATCCTTGCTCAACCACTGCTAGCTGTGTTACCTTGATTTAATCTCACTATGTCTGTACAGTGGTGGTGATAATAATAATAGTGCCTACTTTGTAGGGTTGTTGTAACGGATTAAATGAAAAGCACTTATTATGGTGTTGGCTCTCAGAATAATAACTATGTATGAGTTAACTATTGTTGTTGTAATCAGTAATATATATCTTCTAGCAAATCTTACTTAGTCATTTATAGTGACCTGTTCTCTGACTTGCTTTCTGATGTTCTTTTTATGTATTTATTTTTTACTTTCCTTTGTTAATATAAATGTCCAATCTTTAAAGTATAAGTTTTTTTTTTAATGTAAGGTCATAATATTGGCTTGCTTATAATGGTGTGATTTTGCATATAATTTTTATTAAAAAATCTTTAGTCCCTAAAATGTAAATATGTTCTTTTTAGGCTTCTAGGTATGTGTAGTCTAGTGAGTTTTGTGTCTCAGCCATTTTGAGAAAATGAACAGAAAAAATCTTGCCTCCTTTTAGTTCACAGCTGGATCTATCTTACACTCCAGGGTGGTTATTGTGGAGAGAAATCGCACACTGCACGTGTGTTTTCAGTAATACAGTTTATTCTAGACAGACGGAGGATTAACACTTGCATTGCTTTGCTAAGGTTCTTGAGTTCTTGTCAAGACCAGTTGGACTTGTATGGGTTTTATCTTTGGCGTGTAGGATAAATTAAACAGCTATATCTTTCCCCAAGTCTCTTTGGGGGAAAGAATACCTGTCTAGCCTATTTCTCCTAAGCTGTCATGATCAGAGCACTGTGTTTGGAATATTTACTTTAAGAACATTCTTTGAGCCCTGCTTTGATGCAAGGTGAATGCCTTTGTTTTAGGGTCAGGCTTGTGTAAGAGATTTTTAATAACCTGTTTATGTGCTCTCTGTTACACTGGTTTGTATGTGATTTTATTAGGAAGTTTAGCATTACCAGTGTTTGCCTGTCTAATACGGCTGGATCCCAAGTAGTTACTGAGGGATCCTCGCTGGGTAGGACTTCCTTCCTGCTTCCTTGTTGAGCTGTGGCCTGCCCACATAGATGGTCTAGCTGGCTACTGTCATAGTTAAGGGCTGAAAACTGTGGATTTCTAAGTCATGCATTTCTTTCATAGAAATAGTAATTTTTGAGATATTGAGACAGTCCAACAATTCTGCTGAATTGTCACTGGACTGGACTAATTTTTGTCTTGAGCTGGGGAGAGGATTAGGTCGGGGATTTTCTCAGTTATTTAGCTTAATAATTTTTAAAGTCAACCTTGCATTGATTAGGAGTGGATTAGTTTCATGAGTATCTTACATTCCAAGACATTTTCACTCCTATCCTAAAAAAGTATGTAATAGAAGAATGAAATATATAACTGATAAAAAGACTGAAAATCAAGCATTGATTTTTAAAAATAAAAATACCAAGTCCAAAGATTAATTTTCCCACAAAAGGCCAAACAAGGACTTTTAACTTGGTGTGGTGGTGAACGGTTATCAGGTATGCTGTGTATTCTCAGGACTGAATTTATTTCAGGGGATCCTTGAACTTTGTGTTGCCTAGTGAGATGCCCCAGTTCAGAAGACACGGACGGAAAACCGTTAGGCAGTTGTCCCTTGACTTGCTCCTTGTCCTCCATGATTAATTCCTCTGAGGTTTTTTAATTAAAAAATTTCAAAGGAATCACCTGATGTGATTTTAAAATGCATATTCATGGCCTCAACTTCAGATCAACTGAAACAGAGTCTCTGGGAATGGGGCCAGGAATGTGCATTTTTAACCAAGATCCCTGCCACTCAGAATTGAGAGCTTCTGTTGAGCAAGAATCCAGTCTAGTTGTCTTGCAGCATATCCAGCCCAGTCTGCTCCAGGAACCAGTCCTGAGCAAGCAAATCTGTGACGTTCAGCTCCAGCGTTCTCCTAGGCATTGGGACTTTCCCTTTCTTTTCATTCCCACTACTGTCTCGGTTAAAGTCTTCATCATTTCTTCTTGCCTGGAAGACTTTGACAGTTTTCTAACTGGTGTCTTACCTCTAGGCTGTGCTTCCTGATAGCTACATGACAGTTCTTCCCACTTTGAATATATTGTGTTCATCGCCTCTGCTAGGCATGTCTCTTTATGATCTGGCTTACTCTACCCAACCTCTTGTCTTGCTGTTTTCTAACGGCAAACGTCTACTCCCAAAATTAAGGTTTGTTGGCCATCGGTAGCCAACTCAGATCTCATTGAGTGGATTCCAGTTATTTCTTCACAGGGATCTCTTCATTGTTAAATATTTGGGTTCTTCCAGTGTATATTACTTTATACTAAGTACTGTAAGAGTTTCAAAGAAGCCCTGGTGGCGTGGTGGTTAAAGCACTCAGCTGCTAAAAGAAAGATTGTGGGTTTGAACCCACCAGCTGCTCTGCAGAGGAAAGATTTGGCAGTCTGCTTCCATAAAGATTACAGCCTGGGACACCCAGTGGGGCAGTTCTACTCTATCCTGTAGGGTCGCTGTGGGTCGAAACCGACTAGATGGCAGTGAGTTTTTGAATTACACGAGTTTCAAAGACTGTAACGGTGCTTCACAGAGAATTTACAGTCCGGGGAGTCAGGACTTTATGGAAGAGTTAACTATCAATATGAGTTAATTTGAGACATTGAAAGAGTTGCCATAAGGTACTGCAGAGGTAAGAATGATGTTTTAAGTGCTGGCAAGTAATACTATAATTATTTTATATTCTTCATCGCATTGTAGCGTATGTTGTTGTTGTGTGCTGTCAAGTCAATTCCGACTCACAGACCGTGTAGAACAGAGTAGGACTGCCCCGTAGAATCTCCTAGGTTGTAATCTTTACGGGAGCAGATTACCAGGTCTTTTCTCCCACGGAGCAGCTGGTGGGTTCGAACCGCTGACCTTTCAGTTAGCAGCCGAGCACTTCACCACTGTGGTACGAGGGCTTATATTAGTAAGTCTTAAAAGATGGTAGGCATCATGAGGTCTTTTCCTCGTAATGTACAATGTTGAGCACTCAGTTTTTGGTTGAATTGAAGTTTCAGAAGTATGTGAGCATGAAGCAATAATATTGGTGGAAAATGATGTTCCATACCACCCAGTTCAGTGGTTTTTAAAAAATATTTTGGGTGTACCATATTTTTTTAATTAGCTAAATTTATGATTATCTAAAATCTTACAGCTTTCTGAAGTGCTGCTTTTATGGTAATTGACCCAACAGTTCTTTCATTCTTGGCTGTTACCTTTAACACTGAGCACTGAAACCTCATGTTGTCTAACCAGCGTACTGGAATAGGAGTTGGAGTATGTAGCTAGATGTGTCTAGGTGTTAGCTATCAGGGTGGTAAAGAACAACCACAGGATTAGCCGAAAACCATGGCAACTTGTATTTTTTTTTTTTTTACCATATTGACAGTTGCACTACTCTGCAAGATAAGTATTAGTCAGTAGGCAAAATCCCAAGTCTTACACTTTTAGAGAGTTATAGGCAATTAACCTGGGATTACGCCAAAGAAAAGGTATCAATCAGCTTCTCAGTTCCTGCAGTTTGAAAGGCTGAGTGTCCTGGAGCACACACCTTCAAATTCTAAAACTTAAAGACTATGAAGTACTACAAAATGAAATTTAATATAGATGTTACATTTATCAGGTTAATTGGTTTCTTATTAAAAAGGAAAAAAAAACCATGGAAGAGAGAATCCACTGATGATCAGAACAGTCAGTAGGTAGATTGTCTCCCTCCTCAGAACAGTGAGGGGGGATGTTTAATGAGTGACACTATCAGATATTAGAGCTTGTTTTCTGGTTTTGTTTGTTAAACAGCATAACTGATTTGTTAGCCCTCTCCCCAACACCCTTTCTAAAAGTCATGTTGTTCACAGATTAGCCAGAAGGAATACTGGGGAGCTTTGCTCCCAGAGGCTCAGAGGGAAATGTTTAAAATGTAGTTGAGGGAAATAATCTGATCTCACCTTTGTATTTCTTCTTGGCATCTGTCAGAGCATTCTCAATTCTGCCTCATTTCTCTGCCCCTCTCCTACTGAGGACAGAAAAACTATAATAAAGTACAATAGAGAGGTATCTTCCATCTTATTTAGTTCTTTTAACCCAGATTTTCTGATTCTGCAAAATGTACTATTACTGTCATTGCAGGACTGCAAGCTTGACTTGGAAAGTTTGTTTGTCCAGACAGGGATGGGATTTTTAATTTGTTGGAGCTTTTGGTAAAGGACAGACGGATAGAGTATTCAGCATAGGAGAGCAAAAACACATAGACATTGCACTCGTAGACAGCTTGGAAGAGTAGGACGAGAATTTATCTTGCATCTTTTTTGGCATCAGTTTTGTGGATCAAAGAGGGCAAGTTATTTCACCTCTCACTATTTCAGTTTTTAATTGCCCAAATGGTGATAATATCTGTTAACTTACATAGGGCCTGTAGTTTGAGTTTAAAACAAGGCAATTAGGTGAAGCATTCTTAAACATATGTTTCATAAATCAAAATTCCTGTTAATTTATAAGTGTTTCATCCTGGTGTAAGTTCTAGTTCTTTTTTACGATGTTTCTTCAAAAATAAAAGGGAGGGGAAACCCCTAGAACTTTTTTTTAAAAGAATGCCGTGAATGAAAATCAATTATTTGATTTACTGTGTGTTGAGCAAATGAATTGTTATATACCGTAAAAAATGACATCCCTTCTGTGTACGTGTTTGTTTTTCATATGATTAAATATACTATTCGTGTCCAAGGTGGGATCCCATCGTGTCCGCATGTCAAGGGGATTTGAAGCCAACGCACCTGCTTTTGACAGGTAGGACTGGTTATTTGTATGTAGTGCTGGACATGTTGATATTGTTAAGCAGTGAGACTGAGTGTAATTATATTTACTGATTCATTTCAACTTTTTTGGCTGCAAGTAAAATTCCTTCTGACTAATTGAACTGGAAAACAGTGACACCTAGTGTCGTCACTTCCAGAAACGATAGCACTGGATGCATGGGTCTTGATCTCTTGGTCTTAAAACAGCCTCTGTGGATATGGTGTCCAGTATGGTAGCCACTAGCAACCTGTAGCTGTCGAGTGCTTGGAACGTGGCTAGTCCAAATTGAGATTTGCTCTACGTGTAAAATACACGCCAGGATTTCCAAGACTTAGTCCCCAAAAAAAAGAATGTTAAATATTTCATTCGTATTCGTTCTATATTGGTTACATGTTGAAAAGATATTTTAGAAGTATTTGGGTTAAATAAAATGCATTTAAATTAATTTTTTTCTGTTTTTTCTGAATTTTGAAAATATACCTTCTAGAACACTTAAAATTTCCCATGAGGCTCGCCTTACGTTTCCCTTGGACAGCATGCCCTACAGTCTCTGGAGTGGTTGGAGACTGGAGAGGAAGAAGACCATGTTCTGGGCCTCATTTTCTTAGGGCTAGAGCTTATTAAGGAGGCCCATCTGAGTACTTAGAGTATGTGATGTCCTCATGTTTGAGGCACAGCCCTGGACCCTCTGCCCTTGGCTGCCTTCCCAGCCAAGCTTGTGTTCTCTGCTCATCCAGTGCCAGCCTCACAGACTGGGGAGGAAGCAGGTGGGAGTTGATTGACATCATTCTACCATAGTGGAAAGAAACAGGTCTCAGCACCCATATGTCAGAGGAAATAGCATTAACTGAGAGTTTCTGTGAGTCAGAGTTTTGAAACCAGATAGAATGAATTTATACCCAATGTTGCCAGTTCTGTAAGTTTAAAATACTGTCATGTAAGTTCTGTTGAGAAATGGATTCTTAATTATTGGGGGTGGGGGGAGGTGTCCTAAAACGTATCATTTGACACGTTTATTTTCTTTAATAGGCATTTTAGAACACTTAAGAGTTTATACGGTAAACAAATAATAGTAAATTTGCTTGGGTCTAAGGAAGGTGAACACATGCTGAGTAAGGCTTTCCAGGCAAGTATGATCATTTTTTTTTCTGTTGTGACCCTTAGACACTAGAATGGTATTTTAAAAATAAACTAATGGAATCATCAAGTTCGTCCAGGAAGTAAATTACTTACTAGAAAAAGATTGGGTGCTTGTCGGAACCTTCTTTAGCTCTTTGGGGCTAATGTTGCCGAAAATGGGATTATGGAAGGCTTTCAAGGCATTCGGCACTGTTTTCTAACCTGTTTGTGTTGTGGAGAAGCAGAAGAATACCTCTTCCCGCAGAATGTTCATCTGCCACAAGCAGAGAAATAGCAGGCAGTTTCCTCCTTCATCTGTTCATAGCTTTGCTTACTCCTAGAAGCCATGATCATTGCTTTAAACATGTGAGATGGTGGAGAATGCCTTTGTCTATATGCAAGACCATTCCTTCTCTCTTACAAATAAATACCTAAGGACTGATGAGAGAATTTCAAGTAAAAAAGAACCCAAAAAAAATGTCTGACTTCTAAGGAAAATACGTTCTCAATAAATGCTTATTGAATCAGTCATGAATTTATATGAATTATGATGTTAGATAAAACTATAAGCTTAAATAAAATTGTTAGAAAACATTTTCTAAAGTTCAATCTAATGAATAGAATTCAGAAGTAACCTGATGGTTTTGCTGTTTCGTTTTAAACTTGTGAAATAAACATTATTAGTAAACGAATTATACTTTGAAGAGTATCTTTTTATGTAAAACTTTTAAAAAAGTCTGTATGTATTGAATGAAGGTATAAAAAATGACTCAATCTGTGACTGTAAATTTGCATTGTGAAAAAATTAATGCTGGTGATTGAAAATAATTTTTCATTTTCTAAACCTGATGAGAACATTATTGAAGTTCTCTGATATTAACTGTGTCACCTAACCTTTCAGGGATAGTATATGAGGTTTTAGGGAAAAAGTGCTATTGCTATCAGCAAGTAATTTTCCATTTTACTGCAGTGTCAACAAAATCTATGTGATAGAGTTAGTAAGATTTGAGGAGACCCTGCTGAGGTTTTAATTGAAAAGGCAAGGTTCCATTTATAGCATGTATTGTTAAATCGTATTTAGCTAACATTGAGATGAATATTTGCCTTTACTTTCAGAGTCACTTGAAAGCTTCTGAACATGCCACCGATATCCAGATGGTGAATTTTGACTATCATCAAATGGTTAAAGGAGGAAAGGCAGAAAAATTACATAGTGTTCTTAAACCTCAAGTCCAAAAGTTTGTAGATTATGGATTTTTTTATTTCGATGGAAGTGAAGTTCAAAGGTTTGCTCTGTTTCTCTCTTCTTTAAATTGGAGCTTTGCCATAATTTTTAAATTATTCTCAATGTTGAAGTCTTAAATTTATTTTTTTAAAGCAAGGTTTATGATAAATAAGATCTCTTCCTTTTTTATACTTCAGACTTTTTCTCTGTCTTTAGACTTCAACAAAGAATAAGAATAATAGCAGCTTGCATTACTGAGTACATTCTATATGCTACACAGTGTACTTGTGTTTTACATGCATCAGAAACAATTGTAGGGATAGGTTCTATTATTATCCCCATTTTATGTTTGAGGAGATTGAGGCATAGGCTATAGTCTGCCCCAGGTCATATGTCCGGGAAGTGTTAGAGCTAGGATTCATCCATCTCCAGACCTCATGCTGATATTTATGCATCTGTGCCACTTCTCTCTCAAAACTAATGTTTAGTATTTCTTGACCTCATGGTGTAACTTCTAGTTCTTTTTTACAATGTTGCTTCAAAAATAAAAGGGGAAACCCTTAGAACACTTTTTTTTAAAAGAATGTGAGTAGAAATCAATTACTTGATTTACTGTGTGTTCAGCAAATGAACTGTTATGTATTGTAAAAAGTGCTATCCCTTTTGTCTACATGTTTAAAACCTCAGCAAGGGTTTTAGCTGCAAGCAGAAGTGAAAGACATTGCCGTATGTCTACGTCAGTATAATTTAAATATTCGGCTTTGACATACGAAATAAGAGAAAATGTTGAAAAATTTACCATAAGTTCAGTATATAGGTTGAGGTAAACTTTAGTGAACAAAGCTCAATTTTCTAATTTTTTCTTTTAGAGATGACAGATCATAGGCTTTTTAATGAATTAATTCCATTAATATTTTATTATCTTTTATATAGAGAGATCTAGGGAGTTGTAAGCCGGAATGTACATTTAGCTCCTAACTCTTGGCCTAATTAAAAATAATGGGTCTGGATGGATAGATAGAGGTGTGACAAATGACATATGGCAAATGTTAACATGGTAGGATCTAGGGAATGGGTATGTGAAGGCTCACTGTCAAAGTCTTCCAACTTTTTTGAACGTGTGAAATTTGTAGTAATAAAAAGTTAGAGGAGACAGTGGGTGCCACATTTTTAATCCCTTTAATTTTTCACAGTGTATTTTAGTGTTGTTATTTTTGTTCCAAATGAGCTGTTTAAGTTGGTTGAATTTGTTACAGATGCCAGAGTGGTACAGTTCGCACAAACTGCTTGGACTGTCTTGATAGAACGAACAGTGTGCAGGCGTTCCTTGGCTTAGAGGTAAACGGCAAAGTGCAGCGAATACGTGTGGCTTGGGTCATAGGCCTCTTTCAGTGCTTTTTTAAAAATTGTGGTGAAAATATACAGGACAAAACATACGCCATCTCCTCAATGTCTAGATGTACAGCTCCGTGATACCTGCCAGTGATTTTGCAGTGCAGTACTTCTGACTCTCATTAGCTACTTTTCGCCAAATAGAGATGAAGTCATGCTTCATTAAAGGCTTTCTTTTTGTCTCTTCTAGCCTGCACCACCCCCAGCCCCTTTTGATTTAAATGTTTCCTTTACCTGTTCTTCATATTCTCTTGTTTAGGTGGCTGTCTTTGTATTTCCTTCTATTAGTCCTTAAACTATCCCTCCCTTCTAAATACTGCTATTTATGCTATCCAATAATTGCCTTTTTTTTTGGTCCTGTTTTTTGAAAAAAGAATGTTTTTGGTCTTATTCTCTGCGTTGTCTTTTAAAAGTCTGTCTTAGGAGTTGGGGAGTGTCTGTTTTCACATGTACAATCCTGCAGGATTACATTTTGATAGTCTGTAACCCAGTCCAGGTTGTATGGCATTTTCATATCAGTAGCTACAAAAATCAGGATCAAATGAAAATGCCTTTGATAGTGAGGATGAAAGCGAATGCGATTACCTTCTCTAAGGTGTTTGTTTAAACGCTTTTTTCTTTGCCGCTTAACCATCAGATTCAGTCTAATATTCCAACTCATAGTGACCCTATAGGACAGAGTAGAACTGCCCCATAGGGTTTCTAAGGAGTAGGTGGTGGATTGGAACTGCCGACCTTTTGGTTAGCAGCTGAGCTCTTAACCACTGCGCCACCAGGGCTCCAATATAGTTGTGGTGTCGACTTTACTTGACGAACTGTGTAGCGATGCTGAGCTTGCTATACATTTCCTGTTGTGCAACACTTGTGGTCACAGGCTGTGATGGGGCTTCACCCATAGGAACATAACGGAGTTCTCAAATACCTAAAAAACACGGATCTGAAATGGCACGTTCCTGTTTCCTCTAGTTAATGATCTTACAGTCGGCCAGAATATCAGTAATTAGTTACCCTGGAGCTGAGGTGCTTTCTTTCTCAAAAGTGAAGTTACAGAGTGGAAAGATCTCTGCTACACAAATGTATTTTTCATGTCACTAAAGAAGTTCTTATTAATTCAAGGGAATATTAAGTTACTTGTAAGTTTCATTGATGTGATATTTACTTTAAAACTTGAAATGGTGGCGAGATAAAGTTAACCCAGTCAACGGTTACATTTTCAGAGTCCAGTCCCACATAGTTCTGTAAATCGAAATTTTTGGTTTGGTTCTGGTAGTTCCTAAAAGTCACATCACAATCAGTGTGTTAATATAAAAGTTTCCGTGTTGCTGTTTCAGATGCTAGCTAAGCAGTTGGAAGCTCTCAGCTTGGCTGAAAAGCCTCAGTTGGTGACCCGCTTTCAGGAAGTCTTCCGGTCAATGTGGTCTGTGAACGGTGACTCCATCAGTAAGATATACGCAGGAACCGGGGCGCTCGAAGGGAAGGCCAAGGTAGAGCTGATACGTCGTAACATTACAAAGGACCCTCTCTCCTCTTAGTAAAGCTTTTAAATGTAGTCTTTCTTTTTTTAACCTTTTTTTAAAAGAGCTTGTTTTAGAATTCTGTCCTATCATCCTTTTATATCCTCTTTAACACTTCCTTCCAGAGTGGATTCTGATGATGGAATGGAAAATAGCTGTTTCCCTAGGTTTAGAGGGTGTGTATGTCTGACATATTTAGTCATTTAGTGATCTCTGGGTTTGGGTATGTATGGCTAACTTTTTTTTTTTCCATACATTTCCTTTGCATATCTGTTTCACTTTTTATATTGCTTATTTTGTTTATAAATATGATTTAAAAAAAAAAAACTGTAGCTGTCCTGATAAAGGGTCCTATTTCATTTGGCTCTGTGCTTCCCGCACTTAACATGGCGCCTGCTGTGACAAATGCTTAATGGGTGAATAAGTGGGTCGACAGAGTATGAACACTTTCCGGGAACCCCGCGCTATTGGGACATAGCTGTTTTCTTCTTTTAGTTAGGTCACCTTGAAAAGGAAGCTTGGAAACGTGCAAAGAAATGGGGGGTGTGGACTTAATTAGAATTCTCCACCTCGTTATTACTGTTTAATTGCTATAATTACCTACAGGCTACTTGCCCCTCTAGTATTTGGCCTCTATTGAGGGATTTTGGAAGCATGCTTGAGATATTTTTCATTATTTTATGTACTTAAATATTGTTAAAATTTTAAAGGACTTTAATCTCAGTTGAATTAACATTCTAAAGCAATACAACACCTCAAAGTACCTCAGGAATAGAAATAAGAACACTTAATCACTTTTATAGTTCTCATATACCCTCTTCACTATAGCAACTGGAATTCTTAAAGGACGGTTCTTCATCTGCACAGCTTCTTTTAATCTGCAGATCATCCTCTTTCCTACGTCTCGGAAAACGTCTCATACCAAGACTGAGAAATATGGCCTTACCTGCGAAGTTCCTTTTGTCCAACTCACAGAAATAATTTGAATTGTCATTTATAAATATTTACTTGTGAAATAGTCCCTATTTTCAAAAACCTATTTATTCCTTTTAAACAGAGGACATGATTCTTGCTGTTCTCTTGCCCATTCTCTACCACTGTTGCTTAAAAATATTTGTTCATGTTCTCCTGTCTTCCTGTCTCTGCATTGACTAGGACGATATATGTACAGAGGTTACATATATTATCAGTAGTCTCTTGTCTTTACTATAATATATAGTTATGAAATATTTGTGCATTAAATATACTAGTCTGAATTAAACTAAGTCTAATATCTGAACTGCTTTTTCTTTTCCTTTCTCTGGGTTCCCTTTGATTAATTGCCTGATAATGTGAACGGTGAGTTCTTTTCAAATAGTCACTTGCGTATGTTATCATATGGAAAGAAATAACATTTTACTGCCTTGATTAAATATGCAGTCTTCATTTAATGGCATTTAAAAAATTTGGCTCTTTATTCTAAAAACCAAACCCCTGCCGTAGAGTCAATTCCGACTCATAGCGACCCTATATAGGACAGCGGAGAACTGCCTCATAGGGTTTGCAAGCCGTAAATCTTTACGGAAGCAGACTACCACATCTTTATCCCACAGAGTGGCTGGTGGGTTCGAACCACTGACCTTTTGATTAGCAGACGAGCGGTTAACCACTGTGCCACCAGGGCTCCTTTTTATTCTAAAAAGAAGACTCTGATTACTGTTACTTCTTTAAGGAATAAAAATTGCATGTTGCAAAGTAATTTTCTAGAAAGCTTTTTTTTTTTTTTTTAAAGCATCAAAATCTGTAAGATCAAAATAAATCTTTATGGTAACTAACATGCCCAAGTAAAATATATATTCATTAAAAATTATAATTAAGTCTCTCGTAAGAATTGGCATAAGCTTATTACTTTTATGATTTATATTTACATAAGTACTAAAATTGCCTGAAATATACAAACTGTAGTTTACATATAGTATTTATTTAGGAGCTGTAATTATAAATTTCTTTTTGCGTTAGACCTTTGTTACTATATTCAGTTTTAGTTTTAGCTAATTTATTTGGTATCAATTAAAATGATAGTTTCTATTATTAAAGTAATGTGACGTTTTCTCAGCATCTAAGTTCATTGCGCCCTCTCTTATCTCCCCTTCCCCTCCCCCGCCTCATCCTGAAGTCTAAACATTAAGATGTAGTTCATTTTTTTTTGTTTTTAACTAAGTCCACTTTAGTTTATGTCCTTTATACTAAGCGACTTTACACATTTACTGCTGTAGATGCCATTACTGGACGCAGCAGTGGTGCTGAGCTGGTACTTTATCTCTGTGCAGAGGAAGAGACCTAGTGGCTTCATGAGACATCTAAATGTGATGGTTAGATATTCAGAGTAGGAATGATTACGTCCTTTTTATTGCAGTAAAATCTTATAAACCTGATTTAAAGTTTTAGAATATCTGTTGAATAAAGCTAACAATATTGGGAATGAAGCCCTTGTTCGTTTCTCCCCCAACAGGGTGGAAAGTTAAAAGATGGAGCACGTTCTGTTACCAGGACAATCCAGAACAACTTCTTTGACAGCTCCAAGCAAGAGGCCATTGACATTTTGCTGCTGGGAAATACTCTAAATAGTGACCTAGCTGACAAAGCTCGAGCACTCCTAACCACTGGAAGTTTGCGTGGTGTGTACTTACTTTATGTTTTACTTGATTTGTGCTATTTATATTCCTTATAAAAGTTCACAAGGTAAATATAAACTTGTTTACATAAATAATTTTTAGATTTTATTTAAATAGTTTTGGAAAGGAATTTCTATGAAGGTAGTTTTTTTTAATTGCATTGTCCAGAGGAAGTTTGTCTCTTTTAAGATGTTTATACTGTCAGTGGTATTATTAAGCTGTAAACGGAAACTCAAGCATGTTTTCTTGGACAGATTATGGTTGAGAGGGGTAAATGGTTTAAGTAATACTAACTGCACACAAGTCCATGAAATACTCAGCTAGTGCTTTTAAAAGAGCATTCAGTGATCTAATTAGAAAATTAATGCCTTATTTAAAAACCTAGTACTTATATTATTTTTTTAATTGCCATCCAAAAGTTACTATAACCTGGTTTTACGCTTTAATTGAGATTATTTGAAAAAGCATTAAATCATATTAATAATTTAAAATATTGCTTATTAATGGACACTAACTGCTATTGCCAGTTTTACTATTTGTCATAAATATATAGCTTTCCAGATAGCTTTTTATCCTTCACCGTGCATTTTTCATTAAAATCAGAAGAATTTGAGCTTCTCATGTTGGTGAGCGCATGTGAATAGTATCATGGGAAAACTCAGTGTAGAACTTGATAAATTAGGCTTCCTTAGTTGTCCCCCCCTCCTTTTTTTTTTTCATTTTAACCTTCAGCCTCTAAACATTTTTTTTTTACTCTGTTCAGATGGTCCAAAACCAAACTTCTCAGTTTTCCCCTTTCAAGTAGGAGAAAGCTGTCCTTATATCAGTTAATGACTGCTGGGTAATTGTTCCATCAGATGGTTGTCATGGATTCTTTGACAATTCCTCATGGTGCTCTGGAGGCAGTTAATTACAGTCAGCTCCTCAGGGACATGTAGGTAGGCTAGGGGGACTGAGACCTACTAAAACTCTTTTTTAAAAAAAAATCTGATCTTAGCTACTACTTTCAACTTCAGGCTTTTTTCTTGGCTTCCAGCAGTAGAAACTTGACTAACAGGTGTTTTATCACCTGTGTCTACCTTGATGTGGAGGCATTGAACCCATTGTGAGTCGATTCTGACTCATAGTGACCCTACAGGACAGAGTAGACCTGCCCCCATAGGGTTTCCAAGGCTGTAATCTTTACGGACGCAGACTGCCACATCTTTTCTCCCACGGAGCAGCTGGCGGGTTCGAACTGCTGACCTTTCAGTTAGCAGGCGAGTGCTTAACCACTGCACCACCACGGCTCCTGGAGGCATTAATAAGCAACCACTGAAAGTGAGCAGCTGAAGGAAGGCAAGGGACCTGAGGAACCCCCAAACTTGGTAATTTGTTACTCTAGATCCTTGAACATTTTATTGTGTGTAAAATATGCCTTAAAGAATAGTCAGTGCTGCTGTAACACTTGTTCTGAAAATGAGAATTTCTTCCAACATGACTGATATATTAGGAAACAATTTGAGCATAATGCAAGTTTTGGGCTAGCTTATGTGTGATTTCCCTGGCCGAAAACACTGGGTGAATGCAGAGAACTGCACCCTGCAGAACTGAGTTGGGTAGAAATACACAAAACACACGCACACACGCGCACACACACACACTACCACTCTTCATCACGTGTGTTAGGAGCCGGGTCCTGCACATCTGTTGTCACAACTTTCTGTCCAGTTTCCGTGAGCCCTTCTGCTGTCATGCACAAGCTGCAGCCCTTCTGAAACCCGTGTGTGTCCACCCGCAGGCTTCAGGTCTGCCTCACGATAAGCCATTTAACACGCATAAAACGGTGCTGCTGTCTTTTATGAGGTCCCCGTCTCAGGGTGTGTCACCGTCAATGTTTTTGAGTATTGTGCCCAGCCCCATTTTGCCCACGAGCCCTGTGGCTGTGAGACTTTGCACAGTTTTGCATAGTGCAGTGTTTTTTTGAAACACACACATCTTGTTATAGCAGAACTGATTGCGCTTGGCAGCTGGTGAGTCCCAGAAAAAATCCTAAAAAGTATAAATTAGAGCTGTGTCTTCCATATCTTCCAGCCCCCTAGGTTTTCCATACTCACCTTCTCTCTCATTCACACAGATATGTGCATGTGGTAGTGCGCGTGCGTGTCAGCACGAGTACACACACAGACACGCACACACACACACACAGACACGCGCACACACACACACAGACGCACACACGCACACAGACACATGTACACACACACAGACACGCACAGACACACACAGACACAGACACGCGCGCACACACACAGACGCGCATACACAGACATGCACACACACAGACACACAGACACACACACACACAGACACGTGTACACACACAGACACGCACAGACGCGCACACACACAGACGCGCATACACAGACACGCACACACACAGACACACAGACACGCACACACACAGACGCACAGACACGCACACACAGACGCGCACACACACACACAGATGTGCGCACACAGACACACACACAGACACACAGACACAGACACGCACACACACACAGACACGTGTACACACACAGACGCACAGACACACACAGACGCGCATACATAGACACGCACACACACAGACACACAGACACGCACACACACACACACACAGACATGCACACACAGACGCACAGACACGCACACACAGACGCGCACACACACACACAGATGTGCGCACACAGACACACACACAGACACAGACACGCACACACACACAGACACACACACAGACACACACAGACACACACACACGAGCAGCCTGAAGAGCAAGCCTAGAAGTCACATTTGACCTTCTGACTGTGAAACTGAGGTAGACTTATCAGAATGGGTAGACATAACTGAGTCACTGTAGGATCTTTCCCTCCATGCGGGAGGTTTACATCAGTTACTGTTACTGGTTTTTAATTTTTGTATTTTGTAGCCATCAGAGAAAATGAAGTCATCAAATTGACTCAAATCAGTGAGGCCGTCTTAGCAGGTTTTGTGACGACACGCAGATTCTGACCGTAACCTGTGCTCTTACTAACGCCTCTTTGTTTTCTTCTCCACGCATCCGTAGTCTCTGAACAGACCTTACAGTCAGGTACGGTACAGAAAATCAATCTACAGATAAAAGCGACTCTGTATTTTTCTGAAGTTGGTATTGTAAACAAATAAAGCGCATGTAAATGGAAACTTTCTGATTTCACACTCAGATTCTACAGGATATAATGGATGTCTAGTTTCAATCTGAGAAAAAAAAATTAAGTTTGAAAAACTAAGTACTTCCTTTCGTTTAGGAGGAAATAGGCAGCTATTTCTGCCTTTCTGTAGCAAGTGCTTAATTCCAGTTAAAAATAACTCACCTAGTTTTAATTTCATTTTTATAGTTTATTGAACAAACATTAGTATTATACTTTACTCTTAATAGGCTAATGAACAAAATCCAGATGTGACTATTTTGGATTAATTTCAGATACCATCTGTCAAATATTCCAGCACTTACTGTTTCTGCTTTCTTCCAGTCTCACATTACTTAGTTGGCTAGCCAAAGTTATTTCAGAATAAGAAGAAAGACAAAAGTATTTAGTCTTGGCTCTGGCACTAATTAGCTGTGCAGTTGTGACCTGATCATTTAACGTCTTTGGGCTTCGTTATCCTTATTTGTCAAATGGGAATGATGCTGTCTTACCTGCTTCACAGGGTTCTTGTGAGGGCACAGTGGAAGTGCAGGGGGCTGGCTCAGATGGGAATGTGCGTTCCCAAAGCAGGGTAGGCTGTTTCTCCGCTGTGTGCCAGCCCTAGAATTCCAGTCGTTCTTGTGAGAGAATGAGAGTGAAGTAGGCAGATAAACAGACGAACCAGTTGCCACCGAGTCGGTTCCAGCTTACGGAGCCTGTGTGTGCACAGGAGGACTGCTCCACAGGGTCTTCCAGACCGTGACCTTTTGGAAGCAGATCACCAGGCCTGTCTTCCGAGGCACCTCTGGGTGGGTTCTAACCACCAACCTTTCGGTTAGTAGTCCAGTGCTTAACCATTTGTGCCCTGCGGGGATTCCTTGAAGTAGGCAATAACATCATAGTATGGTGATGAAAACAGTTTTGAACCTTTTGAAAGGTGTTCAGGAAATGAATCTGTTTTTAATGAGATTGGGCTACTCCCAAGAGTGCAAGGGGGTTGTGGCAGCAGCACTCAGGGATGCCTGTCCTCCATAGAGGTGAGCTGGGGAGGGGATGGTGCTGGGGAAGGGATGGTGCTGGGGAAGGGATGGCGCTCGGGAGGGGACAGTGCTGGGGAAGGGATGGTGCTGGGGAGGGGATGACGCTGGGGAGGGGACCGTGCTCAGAAACAACGTGTCTTGTGCCTCCCACACTGCCTCTAGGAGTAAGTTTCAACTTATCAGGTAATGCAGCCTCATGACATTTTCTTATTTCAGGAAGCACCTGCCATTTTACATTGGGAGTCTCCTTTATGCACAGATTCTGTGAATTGTATTCACATTTGGATGAAAATACTGGTTGAAATTAGGAAAAAACGGCATGGTTGAAAAATTATTTATGGTCTGTTGAAGGAACACAGGCTTCTTTAATGTGAATTAGCGCGTCTACAGTTGACAAACGGGAGTGATGTCAGTATAATGCAGAAGTCTGGCCGGTTCTTTAGGATTTTTCAGCATGTTAATATGAACTGTTCAGGGTTTCTACACAAGTGAAGAGAAAGGAAACCTTAATATTATGAAGAATTTAAGAAAAGTAGAAATACTGCAGAAAAATCTTCCTTTAGTGCAAGAAATGGTTTTAAGACCCACCATGATTTCCGCGATGTTTAGTTCCTGAGGAAGGGCAAGTGTAGATGAAGATGCTGAGAATTGTTCACATACTTCTTCCCATGCTTAAAAGAAATGCTTGATGAAGGCTTCTGTGGATTGTGTTTTTGATTTTGGCGAGCCTGGTTTCTGTTGAATCTGCTGTCTGCTAGAACCTACATCTCCAAGGGAGCATGAGCTCTAGTGTGTGTGCCTGCAGAAAATTGGGCGGACTGTGAATTTAGGGGAAAGGCTAATGGATATTTAAGCAGGTGTGTCTTTTTATTAGGATTGTTACTGTTCTTGTTAGCGCTCTGCTTACAAAGTTCCATAGGTTTCAAATGGTCCACCCAACGTTTTTTTCCCTGTAAGCTGTGTTTTCAGCGGTGTGGTGTTCCACAGAATGTTAGACTTTTCAGGAATGGTGTAGCTGTACTTCACGAATGAGGATTCACGTTTGCGGGCCCCAGTTTCATGGCAGCAATTTCCTGGCTTCTCTAAATCAGAACACAGAAGTAGAGGCAAGTAGGTGTGGTACCTCTGTGTAATACAGATCTGTGGAAAAGGCAGGTAGGTGTGGTACCTCTGTGTAATACAGATCTGTGGAAAAGGCAGGTAGGTGTGGTACCTGTGTGTAAGACAGATCCGTGGAGAAAGCAGGTAGGTGTGGAACCTGCGTGTAAGACAGATCCATGGAAAAAGCAGGTAGGTGTGGAACCTGCGTGTAAGACAGATCCATGGAAAAAGCAGGTAGGTGTGGTACCTGTGTGTAAGACAGATCTGTGGAAAAGGCAGGTAGATGTGGTACCTGCGTGTAAGACAGTCTGTAGAATACTTTGTATCAGTTACTGCACGTGCACACATTTGTTCATCCTACAAGAATTGTCTGCCTGGTATATTGAGGAGTCACTTCATCTACATGAGACCTGACCACATGCCTTTAAGTTTTACAAGACTACTGTACTTTGGTTTCATTAAATAATAAATAATGTCACAGTAGGAGCATTTGGGAAATCCTGGTGGTGTAGTGGTTAAGAGCTACAGCTGCTAACCAGAAGGTCAGCAGTTCGAATCCACCAGCTGCTCCTTGGAAACCCTATGGGGCAGCTCTGCTCTGTCCTTTAGGGTCGCTAGGAGTCAGAATTGACAACAGCAACGGGTTTGGTTTGTTGGGTTTTTTTTGGTTTGTTGGTTTTTTTAATTTGTTTTGTTGGTTTTTAAGATCATATGGGTGAAAGGTGAAAATCATTTTGATTTCCTTTTCTTCTGTGCAGTTAACTGCCAGTTAAGTGTGAATTTCTGTTTTTAGATGGAGGTCCTATTAAAATTCTGTCCACTTTGAGCACTGGGAATTTGGCTTAACCAAAATGAAGTGTGGTGTGGAGGGAAAGATGTTAGTCAACGAACACACGAGAGAGATTCAAAATGTATTCAACAGTCATTCATTTAATGCTTATTTATTGAGCACTTACTGCATACCAGGCACTCTTCTAGTCATTTCTGCCCTCGTGGAGCTTCCATTCTGGTGAGGGGAGAAGAGAGTTACAGGAGAAATGGGTAAAATACATAGTTTGTAAATGGCGCTAAGTGCCCTAGAGAAAAATAAAGCAAATGGGGGCATGGGAGGTGAGGGGTGGAGTGCAGCTTTAAATACGGTGGCCGGGGAAGGTCTCACTGGAAAGTAAAGTCCTGAAGAAGGTGGAGAAGAGTGTCCAGCTGTGGGAACAGCCAGTGCAAAGGCCTTGGGGTGGGAACATGCCTGGCGGCTTTTTGGAATAGCAGGGAGACCAGTGGCTGAGCAGTGAGTGAGCAGGCGAGGGCAGTAGATGAGGGAAAAAGGCGAGCAAATTGTACAGGGCTTTGTAGGCCATTGCTGAGGATGCTGGCTTCTACTCTGAGCAAGATGGGGCACACTTTGTAGTGGCTTCATTTTCAGACATCCAGTTAGCTTCCATAATTTATATTTTTGTCAGAGAACCATTAGTTCATCAAACCTCTTGACAACAGCTTGAATTTTAAATGCACACGTTCTTAAATGTTTTTGTTTAGGAGAAATAAAATTTGTATGTTTTTACCAGCCTCCTAATGAAAGTTGTATGAAAGCCAATTGCTGTATTCCTAAAAATGTACATTTTTTAGATTTTATACATTATAAAATAATGCACCATTGCACTGAAACCAGACTGTTTATTCTGCATGTTTTATGTTGCCGCAGTAATTTTGTAATAGCTTTTTTTACTTTGCCTGTTGTGTTCATTGTGGTCCGTTTTCTTTATTTTGATCGTGTTGGTAAATTCCATCGTGCTGGGCTCCGTGTTCAGGGCTGATTGTCAGTTTGTGCCTGTGCACGTATCTCAGCTTGTTTGCCGTATGCTGGTAATCGTATTTTCTGGACTTCATTTCTCAGTCATGAACATCCATTTCCATAAGTGGTTTAATCAGCTGAAATTCCGTTGTGTTTTGTTTTTGAATAGCATCTTCTAAAGTACTGAAGAGCATGTGTGAGAATTTCTACAAGTATTCGAAGCCCAAGAAAATCCGAGTGTGCGTCGGGACCTGGAACGTGAATGGAGGGAAGCAGTTTCGCAGCATAGCCTTCAGGAATCAGACGCTCACTGACTGGCTGCTGGACGCGCCCAGGCTCGCGGGCATCCAGGAATTCCAAGGTTGGCGTCTGATCAGACGGATGTGCTTACTCAGCTCTGACTGTGCTTTATTGATCTGGAAAACAAGCATAGTGGTCTACAATGGGCACTAATTTATAAAAGAATCTTGGGTTTATAAAGTTGAAGCCCAGCATTTTTATGGGTCAAATCTGTTAAAATCTTGCCTCTGTTTTTTATTTTCAGACCTTTATTTTCTACTTCATGAAAAGCATAATGGTAAAATAAAAACTCTTTTTCGTTGATAGGTGAGTCTCAGGAAATGGGTCCACACGTATTTTAAAAAAAGAAAAAAAAGCTCTGTTTTTATTCTTTTAAATTGACACAAACCAAGTTTATTTTCTAATCGACAATTTGCGTTTCATTTTTCAAACCCAGTGTGCCCAGTTTTTAAAACCTAGTCCTCTTTTGAGTTACTAAGATAATAATCAGGGTGGGTCATGAGCGGTCTTCCAAGACGTGTTGTGGTACTTGCTGGCACCTTATAACTTTAACAGTCCTGGCTTATCCATGTAAAGATTTGGTTGTCACTCTCTTTGGGCATTCTGCCACCAAGCTATTAATGGCCAGAACCAAATATTAAGTGAAGGATGATTTTATTAAGAGTTTGACAAGAACCATGAATTTGAAGCCTTCCTCTTTTGTTAAGTCAACTTTAGTTTCTTTTAAAAATAGCATACAGTTACCAAATATTATATATGAAGGTGGTATGTATAAGAAAAGGAGCCCTGGTGGCACGGTGGTTAAAGCCTTTGACTGCTAACCAAGAGGTCAGCGGTTCGAAACCACCAGTGGCTCCTTGAGAGAAAGCTGTGGCAGTCTGCTTCTGTAGAAACTTACAGGCTTGGAAGCCCTATGGGGTTACTATGAGTCAGAATCGATTCAAAGGCAGTGGGTTTGGTTTGTTTTATGTACAGGAAATAGTTTGAGATACAGATTTTCCTTTTTCAGTTATCTTTAATCAGTCACATCTTAAATTGAGCTTATCCTCAAACTTTTATTGAAATGTCTCCTCTTTCACTTACATTGAGCTTCACTCGAAGTTATAGTCATGGTAATAATAATAAAGTAGTAGCTGATACCACAATTCTAAGTAGTTTACGTGTGTGTCTTTAATTCTTAAAACAGACCTGTTATGTAGACACTTCTATTATTCCAGTTTTACAGACGATGGAACCGATACACAGAAAAGGGGGTCACCTGCCCAAGGTCATGCTAGTCCTGGCAAAGCCGGGGTTGGAACTCAGGCCGTCTGGCTTCAGAGTCTGTGCTGCATTGTATCGTGTGTGAAGCTGGGCTAGGGGCTTAGCTTCTCTGAAGCCTCAGTTCCTATCTGTAAAGTAGAGGCAAAAATAATGTCTCAAAGGGCATTTGATCATTAAATGAGATGATGCCTGCATGGACCTTGCACACAGTAACCCGAACCCAAAACCAAACCCATTGCCGTTGGGTGGATTCTGACTCATAGTGACCCTATAGGACACAGTAGAACTGCCCCATGGGTTTCCAGGGAGCGACTAGTAGATTCAAACTGCTGACCTTTTGGTTAGCAGCCATAGCTTTAACCATTGCACCACCAGGGCTCACCCCTGAGGTGATCAGGCCTGAAGGGCTCAGGCTCTTGCCGGGTCAGGTCCGGCAACTTCTTGCTGCTTCCGAACCATCTCTCCCTCCCCCTGCCACTCAGTCCAGTTCCTCAACTCTGCCTTTGATGTTCAGGGCTCCCAGATTGCCACATATAATCGAATCACTTGTTTTTTCGGGTCTTTGTTGTAAGAGGTCTACCGGAAGCATCTGACTACTCTGCCATCTTGGCCCCGCCTCCGAGATACAGGTTTTAAACTTGGATCTCTTCTACTGTTTTCCTGGATTCCCTCTACCCAGGAAGTAGCAAAAAGATCAAGCCTGTGGTTTTCAAATTTAAATGTGAAAAATCTCTCCCAGTTGTTCCCTCTAATTTGAGATGGTTTTTCAGCCACTGTATTCTCCAATTTTGATTCACTCCAGCTCAGCTGTCCTTGGTGCACACTTCAGCAAGATTTCTTTCAAGATGATTTCTGGTGGGACTTACAGATCTTCAAGAAGAATGATCTTGAAGTAGTGTAGCAAATATAAGACATCTGGATAGAAATTTAAAGTAGTTTTGTCCCACTCATGGGTCTTTACCTTTAATTTAGATTTGATTGAACTTCAGTGAATTTTTACGGGATCTGGTATTGATCTTTTTTGCATTAAGAGGGTTGCCATTTGGCTAAGTCTCTATTAAAAAAAGTCTTTCTTGGATGTTAATTATAGATAAAAGAAGTAAGCCAACTGATATATTTGCAATTGGTTTTGAAGAAATGGTGGAGTTGAATGCTGGAAACATTGTGAATGCAAGGTAAGCCAGCCAGGTAACACACGGGAAAAATTTCCAGTTGAGGGATGGACAGCAGTTAACTAAGGAGTTGTTAGAAAGATAGATTGAGGTAATGTATGTACATAAAGGTGCCTTGTAAACTGTAAAACAGCAATTCTCAAACTTTTTGGTCTCAGGACCCCTTTACACACTCTTTAATCTCAAAGATATTTTTAAATGTGGTTATATCTCTCAATAGCTGTTGTAGTAGAGATTAAAACAGACATTTTTAAGACATTTAATTCATTTTAAAATAATGATAATAAGCCCATTCCATGTTAACATAAATAACATTTTTGTAAAATAAGTGTATTTCTACAACAGAAAAAATACAGTGAGAAGGGCGACATTGCTTTGTAGTTTTGCGTATCTCTAAGGCAACTGAATTCTTATTTGTACTTTGGTGTCAGTCTCTCAACAACATGTTGTTTTAGTTGAAGCATGTGAAGAAAATCACATAGCTACGTAATTGGAAAAGGGAGGGTTTCAATAGACTTGAGATAATTTCTTCTTTAATGCTACATCAAGACTCAACAAGTAGTTTTTTAAAGATTAGTTGTAATGTGGAATCAGGGACTATCAATGAACTTTTTATACTCTGTTATATGAAGTTCATTTGTCTACCTTTTACCGCTGTGTGATTTTATAACTTCATGTATTGGTGATTGGAAAAATACTGGTTCGCTGAGTTACCTAGATATTCCAGATTTTGATACATTTTATTATGCAATATCAAAACACTGTATTCATTAACATAGTCACCGATCTCATCAGAAAATTCTTTTAAGTACTGAGAAGCTGTCAAGTTCACAGTGGCAGATACATATTTCCCAGAATTCTAATTTTTGCTTGATAACTCAAGTTTTATCATTGTAAAGAAATACTGCCAATTGTTTTCCTTGAAGCGGTATCCTTAGTTGAGAGAATGTTTGCCAGATTCCCAAGTCTGAGTAACCATGGTTTGTTACGTCATTAGCTCTTCAAGTAAAATTGTCTTCCATGAAAAAAGCGGGGTTCAGCTCACAACTCAAATGGTCACGTTTTACAGTGACACAGCCATTGTGCTCAGTCTGCAGCAGAGGTGCTTTTGCTTTTTTTTCCCCATTCATCAAACAGTTTTAAAAAGGTGTGATTCGGATTGAGATTTGATAAAGTTAATAATGTTACTGCTTCATCAAGGGCATTCGTAGTGAAATCACCATTTTGTTACTGTAAGTGCCTGGCGGTGAGGACTGACAGCCAGTGTCGGGGTCGTGCTAAGGCGTCAGCACTTCTGCCCGTTGTTGCTTTTGCATCGTCGGTGAACACGTCAGTGAGCACACTGGAAAGGCGAGCAGTGCCTTACTATTAGTGTGGGAACAGTTCGGGCCTCGTGGGTTTCGGGAACCCCAGAGGGATGTCTCCAGACCACACTTTGAGAATGCCTACTCTGACACCGTATTACAAATACAGTTTATTGGACTGAAACTTAAAAGCTTGAGTGTTGTATTTTAACATAAAATATGCTTTTGCTTTTAAGTTTGAGCAGTTGCCCATGTTTTACGACATTTTAAAGATTTTCAGAATCAAATTATGGGCCAAAATAGTGTGGTATAGTCATCAGTTTTGCAAATTACAGTTTTTTTCTTAGCTGAAGTGAATAACAATTATATTAGGGAAGTAGAAAAAAATCTTGACTTTATTCATTTTGTTATTTTAAATATTTTCCTGAAAATATCTATTCAGGTCTTACAATAGAACATAATTTTAGGGTTCCTACTACCAAACAAAATGTTCAATTATTTGTCTAAATGGAGTTTAATCAGATTATTCTTTAATAAAGTGGTGATTATCCATTCTTTTATTTAACCAATATCTACTAAGCAGTTGCTCTAGGTGGGGCAAATACATCAGTGAATAAAGCATGCAAAACTCCTTGCCTTCATGGGCTTTGTATTCTAGTGGGAAGAGACAGTAAACAATACTGTAACAAGTAAATCATACAGTGTGTTAGAAGAGGAAAAGTGCAGTAGAAAACAGGTAGAGGTAAAGGGGATCATCTGTGTGGAGGTGGAAAGGTGTTCGCAGTTTTAAATGGAATAGTCAGGATGGGTTCATTGAGGAGAGACCTGAAGGAAGGGAAGAAAGTTGTCATTCTCAGTTCTGAATCAGAGTCAAAGCAGTAGGATTATGGCAAGTAGGTAGTGAGTGTGTGTTCCGACTGTGTATTTTGGATGTGGTGTGGTATAGTGTTAGGTTATGTAGATGTGAGGTCATAATCTGGCTTTGCCACTTACCGGTTGCATGACCTTGAGCAATGAGAATACTCTCAACCATAAACTAGGAATTAGAATAATCTGCAAGTGGTTGTTAGAGTCAAACATGTTAGAATAACATGTAGATCTGCCTAACCTGCAATTAGTGTTCATTGAGTATTAATTCTTTTCCATCCACTCATTTCAATTTGATTTGATATATAAAATTCTTTGAGTTCATAGAGATCTGAAAAATTTTTTTTGGTTTCCATTTGAAGATTCTTGGATACAAACTGCTTTTAAAACTCATAGATTAAAAATCAAGCATTTATCCTGCCTTTCTTACACGAACTGTATTTCAAAGTAATTGAATAGTTGTTAAGAGAAAGTTCTTTATAGAATTGCAGCTTATTATAAATGCCAGTGGAATGATGAAATTACAAAAGTAACATTTTGTAAAAACCCGAGTGAAATAATAGGTCATCTAGGCAATGATCATCAACAGATGCTAAGACCTTGGCTGGAAGGTTAATAGGTAACTTTACAAAAGAGTGGGTCAGACTGCGACCCCCTGAGCATCCCCGAGACAGTGCACCTCCTGTTGTGATGCAGCAGGAAAGACATAGCATCACATTGGAGGGGTTTTTGTCCCCACCCGTCAAAAGAAAAATTGAACTTGTTTCTTAATCAGACCTCTACATCAGACTCGCAGTTTATAGGAAATGTGAGGGGTAGAGGGACCAGTTAAGACACCATGAGGACACGATCAGCCAATCCAGACTGTTGACCATTCTATAAGGCAGATGTCAGTGTCTTTAAAAGAGGAGGTAGACATTGAGAGACAACTAAAGATTAAAAGAGATTCAAGAGATAGAGTAGGTGCACTGTGTAGGCCTTGTTTGGACCTTGTTTTAAAGAAACCAACTGCAAGAAGATATCAGTGGGGAAATTTGAATATGAACTGAGTGTTAGATGATGCTAAGGAAGTGTTAATATTAAAGTACGATAATGACATTGGGATTATATAAAAATGTCTATTGTGTTAGAGATGCATACTGATGTCCGTACAGGTGACGTGACATGTGCCTTAGATTTGCTTTAAAATACTCCAGGTTTACCAAAAAAAAAAGGAAGGATGAAAAAAAAAAACATTGGCAAAATGTTGATAATTGTTGAAGCTGAGTGATGGGTGTGTGGTGGTTTGCTACAATAAGTGTTTAAAAAGACATTGATGTAATTCAGAAAAATAAGTAAGTTTCTGTTTTCGTTGTCAAAGAGTCATAGATTGGACTTTGAAGTATGGTGTTCCTTTGGCCAAGTTTTGGGTTTTCCTTTTAAAGGGAAACAGAACAAAACACCAGCCGACAGGTAAATATTTCACGGTTGGTGTGGCTTCCGCGACTGTTAGTAGTCTTATGAAATGTAGGCATATAAACATACAATTGGCAATTGTCTTATAAAATAGGCTATTGTCAATCTCTTTTAAGAGATTCCCTTTTTAATATTTTATGGTAGCACAACTAATCAGAAGCTCTGGGCGGTGGAACTTCAGAAGACAATCTCCAGAGACAACAAGTATGTGCTGCTGGCTTCTGAGCAGCTGGTGGGCGTCTGCCTCTTTGTTTTTATCAGACCACAGCATGCTCCTTTTATCAGGTCAGTGAACAGAGCACTCTCTGAAGGCTACCTTCTGCCGTGGGAAAGGGAACCAGAAAAGGCCTAGAATGTTTGCTGCTTCAGAGAAACCCTTAGGCATCATTCTTGTTTTAAACTGTACTTCGAATTAAAGAGTCATTAATAACTGCAGTGTCCTATTTCACAGCACTGCTCTCCCGTGTAGTTGTATGATCATATGATACACGTTCCTCATTTCTGGTGGGCGTGGAACTATTGACGTTTCAGATCTTTGATTTAGGCTTCTTTGTTTTGAAGGGATGTTGCAGTTGACACTGTGAAGACTGGGATGGGAGGTGCTACTGGGAATAAGGGAGCTGTTGCCATCCGGATGCTGTTCCACACCACAAGCCTCTGCTTCGTCTGCAGCCACTTTGCTGCAGGCCAGTCACAAGTCAAAGAGAGAAACGAAGATTTTGTAGAGATAGCGCGGAAACTGAGTTTCCCCATGGTAAGCTCCTGCTGCTTGTTCTTGAAAATGAAGCTTTGAAACACATTTTAATTTACTTACCCGAATTCTGTATCAGTGTTTTTGAAAATTTAAGGTAATTCCTAGACACATCAGCACCATTCACCTTAATGGATACTTGATGTGTTGATACTATTAGGTCATAGGAGGGAGGGAAGCATATCTGAGGGAAAAATGGTTTTGGATTTAAAATTCCCTCTCATTGCTTCCAGGGAAGGATGCTGTTTTCCCATGATTATGTATTTTGGTGTGGTGATTTCAACTATCGAATTGATCTCCCTAACGAAGAAGTTAAAGAGCTTATAAAACAACAAAATTGGGATTCTCTTATAGCAGGAGATCAACTAATCAATCAGAAAAATGCTGGACAGGTATATACATACTTGCATTGAGGAGGGGGTACTATCTTAGAGGGTTTTTAGTAATGAAACATGCTTTTCTTAGTCATGGGTGTGTGTGTGTGTTTAAAGTCTCTTTACTTTTAATAAATATATATGTTATATATATTATGTTATATATATTTATTAAAGCGTAAATATATATGTTATATATATTTATTAAGAGTAAAGAAACGTATATATGTGTGTATATATATATATGTAACTTCACAGGTAAAGAATTACCATTCCTTAAAAAAAAAAAAAGAAAACCCATGATTCCTAAGAGAAAAAATATATCGTGTCTCTGTAAGATTCACTTTCAAGTAGTAGAGGATACACATTTTTGTTGTATTTTTTTTTGATAATAGTGAGTTCAGGATCTTAGTCTTCAAGGCTACTGTTTTTTGACTTTCAGATCTTATACTGATCTGTTTGTTTTTCTTCTCTTGTTTCTCATATCATTTACCATTTTGAAACTTACTGCTTAAAACATAACTGCAAAATTTTGGAATTTTTTTTGTAAGTAGAGGGGCTTAGAGGCCACTTGGTATGGTGTCTGGTGGTCCTGTTACTTGAATTCCCACCTTTGGGCACCGCGTACCCTTTGTAAGCCTCGGTTCTTCACTGGAGAATGAGCCATCAGGCAAGATGATTTCCAGAAGCCCACACAGCTCTAAAATGTCCGGTGTAGCTCAGAGGTCTGGTGGGATTCCCTTCTTTGTGTTTTCATAGTTCGTTTAATTGAAGGGCAAACAAGTGGTGTGAAAATGGCCGTGTCTTGGCTATTTTTTTCTTGAGCTTTGCTCCGTTCAGTTGGAAGTGTCCATCAGATAAGTACAAATTTCAGTGTGAGATTATCCAGCCTCACTTTTCATGAACGCCTGCCTGAATGAAAACGGAACTTTTCACTTTTCACCTTTCAGGATAACTTACTTTGTATATGTTTATTTTAGATTTTTAGAGGATTTTTAGAGGGGAAAGTAACTTTTGCTCCGACATATAAGTATGATTTGTTTTCCGATGACTACGACACCAGTGAAAAGTGCCGAACGCCAGCCTGGACGGACCGCGTCCTTTGGAGAAGAAGGAAGTGGCCTTTTGATAGATCAGGTTGGGAAGTGAAATGGACTTCTTCATTTAAATGATTTATGCAGAGTTCATGAGGGAGAAGGGAGGGATATGAATATTAAATGAGAACAGCAGAGCTTTTTTTTTTTCAACAAAAGTTATCCAGAATAGAATAAACAAAATTTAAGTATAATAGCAATATGTTTAAGTATTCTCAGACCTGCTTATAATAATTTCATTCACTTTCAGTCCATTTGCTTTTTAGTGACATAATTTCATATAAAGAGAAGCAAGGAAACATTTTTTGTGAAGTTTTCACTGCTAATTAAGGTTTTTAACTTGAATAATTAAAGTGACTTGCAGGTATTTTGAACTGCCTCTTGTCTGTCGAAGTATTTATGAAACATCTTTGGTCAGAGGCCTTTAAGTAATCTCAGAAGTAAAGTCACATTCTTAAATTAATTTTTATTAAGTAAAGCATAAAATGGTAACTACTAAAAAAAAGCCTTTCTGACTTAACGGTGTCTTGCCCACTTGCCTAGTACCAAGCGTGTCAGGTATTCTAGCCTCAGACAACTAAAGCTAGTGAAAAATAGGAAGCAGCTCCTGCTCCACGTGATGTGTCGAGTTCACGCAGCATCTCTTGTGCTTTGTCTTATCTGACTGCAGCTGAAGATTTAGATCTTCTAAATGCTAGTTTTCAGGATGAAAGTAAAATCCTCTACACCTGGACCCCCGGCACACTGCTGCACTACGGAAGGGCCGAGCTGAAGACTTCTGACCATAGGTCTCAACAGTTTCTGTGTTTCTAATGGTGCTTGAAATTTGTTTGAAGAACGTCCGTTCTCAAACATTTCTAATACATCTGTCTTTTTCTATGTCTTCAGGCCTGTCGTTGCCCTGATTGATATAGATATATTTGAAGTTGAAGCTGAAGAAAGGCAAAACATTTATAAGGAAGTGATTTCAGTTCAGGGTCCACCAGATGGCACAGTACTGGTCTCAATCAAAAGTTCTTTACCAGAAAATAATTTTTTTGATGATGCTTTGATTGATGAGCTTCTGCAGCAGTTTGCAAATTATGGTGACGTTATACTCATAAGGTGAGGAAAGTATTTATTATCCTGTATTATTTATAAATGATAGTTTCTATGTTAGAGATAACCTCAGTGTTTGAATAGTATATGAGTATTTGTGTTTTCAAACTAAAGAAAAGTCATACCATAGATAGGTAATTCAAAGAACACAAAGGTTTTGAAACCAACTCAGAGTTAAACAGTGAAATGTGATATGAACATTTGAGGACAGAAATAGGTGCAAATTTAGGTATGATCTTTCAAGATTCCTGTACTCGTCTCATGTACTTCAGATGTGTTATCAGGAGGGACCGGTCCCTGGAGAAGAACATCATGCTTGGTAAGGTAGAGGGTCCGCCAAAAAGAGGAAGACCTGCAGTGAGATGGATTGACACAGTGGCTGCAACAATGGGCTCAAGCATAACAACGATTGGGAGGATGGCGAAGGACAGGGCAGCATTTCGTTCTGTTGTACGTAGGATTGCTATGAGTCGGAACCGACTCCACAGCACCTAACAACAGCAGGAGCAGTGTACAAAATAGCACATAAAAAACAAAGCCGTATAGCAAAACGCAGCCCTGACTGCCATTCTGTTTTTTTAAAGAAAGACAGACCAAAGTGGGGCGACTTTATCCCCCCTAAGTTCAAGACATTTGAGATTTTTGGTGATTTCAAGTCTGTTTTATTTCCAGCCAGTTGAGAAGCGGCGCTGCCACAATAGTAGTCAGGGGTCATCTCCGCCCGGCTTGGTTTCCCTCATTAACTTAACCGTCTGCCTTTGCAGAGCCAGGCACCTCTTTCCTTTTTTAAAATATGTTCTCTTCCAGGTGTACAGCGATTTTGAGAGATTGAATGACATATATGTATCTGAATTTCATAGGGAAGAGGTACTATTAAATTTCTGTGCTGTTTATTTGCTTATTTGAGTATGTTTTATAGATTTTGGTGGGCAAATCTCTGTACTAGGTGCTATGGAAGAGCAGAGAAAACACGGCCCAAGACTTGGTTTCTGCTTGTAATCTAGTTGGGAAGATCAGCCCATGTATAATGGCTTCCCAAGATCCTAAACAGCATTAGTCCTCAGAATTGAGATGGTGTAGTTTCAGTAGAGCTGAGAATTGTGCCTTAAGAAATCTGGAATTCTTTCACAGAGTAAATTAGCAAATAGAGAAGAAATCCTATTTAGACTTCCCTCAGATCTTTTCACAAAGATCTACTCCAAAGCCTTAAAACAAAGCAAAAAAATTTTCCAAAATCTTAAAACTCTAGCAAGTACGTAGTGAAATCTCCAAGTCTACAGATAACAGTAAGCTTTGCCAAGTATGGAAGTGCAGCACCCCAAGAACATCATGTGAATTATGTGAGTGGGCTGCAGAGTAGCAGAGTCAGTGTCATTATGAGAAAATGTAAGAGCGCTGAGCTAGAAACGATGCAGACTGTACCTAAAGGGTGCGGGCTCTGATACAGGAAGAGCACCTGCTGGTCTTTACACCCCAGGCTCTAGAGAACTTGGTGTGCAGCTGGGGCCAGAGCTCCCCAGAGTGCCTGTTGTCATTAGGAAATGTACTGGTAACAGAACGAGGGATTATTTTAACCTCATAAAACATCATATCCACACCGTAATATTCTAGTTATTGCACCTTAAGACAACCATGTTGGCAAAGAAAAAGCAGACAGTTAAACTAAACAAGGAGAAGACTGCCCGGAGCAATGAGACTAAACTGATTACTACTTTGTAGTCAAGAAAAGGAGCCCTGGTGGTGCAGCGGTTAAGTGCTCTGCTGCTAACCAAAAGGTCCACAGTTTGAATCCGTCAGCCGCTCCTGGGGAGAAAGATGTGGGCAGTCTGCTTCCGTGATAATCACAGCCTTGGAAATCCTATGGGGCAGTTCTGCTTCGTCCTACGGGGTCACTATGAGTTGGAATTGACTCAGCGGCAGTGGGTTTTAGTCTAGAATAAGACAGCTGTTACGGATTGACTGAAATCTGTAAACTGTTTCTACTGAAATAAGAGCTTCCCTGGAAATGTGAATAGGAGAAAGTTAGATACATGTAGATCCGGATATTAGTTGGGGTGGGGGAAGTGTGCCCTGGAAGCTTTTACCCTAGTGAGTAAGAACAGGCAGAAGATAAAGCTTCCAAAATGGCCTACAGAAATTCATGGATGTTAGGCGCATAGGCGGGGCAGTGGTGGTTCAGTGGTAGCTTTCTCGCCTTCCTTGTCGGAGACCTGGGTTTGATTCCCGATCAGCTCATTCATGCACAGCCACCACTGTCTGTCAGTGAAGGCAACTTAATAATTTATAGCAAAGAAATTAAAGTTACTCACCTGCGTCATGTTTGAGTGACTAGAAACCTGTTCCAGGCTTTTGATTTCAATCAGTTAAAGTACTTGTGCACACTTTTATTTATTTTTTTGCCTTTTCTTCTCACTATCTAGAATCTTTACTTTTGAATCCTACTCTAAGTGTGTATGTGTGTGTATGTGTATGTGTTTTCCCCTCTCTTATCTTTGAAGAATCTTTGAAGAGTTGTGAACTTGATTTGTACAGTTAGGGGTAGTTTGACTCATAAAATTGTTATGAGTGACAAAAAAAAAAAAAGACCAGATTTCCTGGCCTAGAGGATACTGGAGAAACCCCGAGAGTGTGACCCCCAGACACCCTGTTAGCTCAGTGGTGAAGTCATTCCCGAGGTTCACCGTTCAGCCGGGTAGTGGACAGCCCCATAAGACCAAATGGGACTAATGAGGCACAGCAGTCCAGGGACAAGGGCCAGAAGGCAGGAGGGGACAGGAAAGCTGGTGATAGGGAACCCAAGGTTGAGTAAGGACAGTGTTGATGTGATGTGAGGTTGTTAACCATTGTCATAGGGCAACATGTGTACTAACTGTTTAATGAGAAACTATTTTGTTCTGTAAGCCTTCATCTAAAGTGAGAATAGCAGCACAATTGAAGAGCGTAGTCGATGTCACTGAACTGTGCACGTAGAAATTTTTGAAATGGTGTATCTTTGGCTGTGTATATTTTCACCAAAAAAAAAAAGGTTGAGAAGGGAGAGGGTTGACATGTTGTGGGGTTGTTAACTAAGTCATAAAACAATATGTGTACTACTGTTTCATGAGAAACTATTTGCTCTGTAAACCTTCAGCTGAAGTACAATAAAAATAAAAATAAAAAAAATGGTTGTGAGTGAGACTGATGATGTTAGACATTGTTTTGTTCTTTTTTGTATAATAACCTGATTGTTTAGCAGTGACTGTCCTCTTCTGAACTTGTTCTAATCTCCCTTGCATTTTTTCCTTTTGGGAGTTTCTTCTTTCAAAATTATCACCTTAGGATCATAGCGAAGGCCATTGAAGTTCCAAGAGACTAAATGGCTTGTCACTGATCAAAGTCAAGGACCATACCTGGCACCCTGGGGTCGGTTTTCACTGACATCTCCCTGTCCTTCTCCGTCAAAAGGAGTTTCCTTCAGGGAAGTCGCTGCAGCAGCGATACGGCGTCGGATTTACGGGGAGTCGCTGCAGCAGCGATACGGCGTCGGGTTTACGGGGAGTCGCTGCAGCAGCGATA